TGGGTCCTTGCATGATCATCCTTGATGATGGAGAATTCATCAGAGGATTTAAACGTGTCCCGGACGGCGGACAGATCCACGTTCACTTCATAGGGACCGTCCGGGATGCTGGAGGGCATTTCTTCGAATTTGACCTGTGCGGCCTCAGCAGCAAGGACCTTCGCCTGGGAAGCTGCGAGTTGGACCCGAAGGGTACCGAGCTCAGCATCCAGCCTCTGCTTTTCCTCCGCAAAGGCTTTCCGTTCGGCCTCCAGAGAGGCGATGGCGGCAGCAGCATGTTGCTCAGCAGAAGACTGGGCAACGATCAGTTCCCGCTCCTTGGCCAGACGGGCCTCCCGCATCTGAAGGGTGTACAAACCCATCTACAGAGTACCGTTCGAGAGTTAGTACTGATTGCAGAGAATAAAATAGAGACAAAGCGCAAAAGACAATGTACCTTCAGAGCAGTCAGAGCCAGACATTCTTCAGATTGCTCGACCGGCAACTCAGGAAGGGAAAAGTTGTTGAACCAAGAGGAGGTCGACCAGATCTGGCTCGCGGTAGAGCCGGCCCTCTCTAATACCTCATGGACAGGGTCGGATAGGGAGATCCGCTCGACCTGACCCGTAATGTGGTCGGTATGGGTCTCACCGGCATTCGAGGGTTCCCCCCGGACGGAGTCGAAATGCTGAGAAAATTGGTGCAGTTGGTCAGAGCCGAACCGGTCGTCGACCAGCATGGCCTCGAATTGGTCCTGGTTGACCTGCTGTATTGGCTGAGGCTCTGTAAGCGGTTCAGAAGGGGTAGCATCCTGAGCGGAAATAATGGTGGGAGTAGGTTGGGGGTTCTTCCGGGATTTTTTCCGCTTACCGGACCCACCGGCTGCGATAACTCTGCTGTCATCCATAGGTAGATCTGGGTTTGGTGCTGAAAAAGACAAAGGAGAATGTTAGTATCGAGCGGCCTTAGCGTGTGAGAAACTAGAAAATGGAATAAAAGAACGTTTCTCGCACGGGAAGGACCGCCCGGACCATGGCACTTGGTTTCTCAAAACAAGTAAACCCAAGAGAACGGGTAGTACCTATCCCGGCCGTAATGAGTCGTTCGGGAGTCAGATAACTCATGATGTCCATGCATTTATCCTTCTCCACAGCAAGCACGTCCTTGTAAATTTCTTCAGTAAGGACAGGATCAGGAGTCTTGCGGGGGAAGGCATTCCATTTACGGGGAATTAGGCCGTCCGGGACAGACACGAAGAAAAAACGGTCTTTCCACCCTTTGATTGAAGTTGGGTTTCTTTTGAACAGGATGTGTCCCGTTCGGGCACTAGTGGCCAGATAACTGTGGGTTTGTTGGGGGGCTACTTTGAAGAATTTAAGCAAGAGTTCTAGGATTGGTCGGGCGCCGGCATCTTTGCAACGACAAATGAAACCCGCCATTGCCCGATAGGAGTTCGGCATAATCTGGGCCGGTACAATTTCGTAGAAATTGAAGAAAGAAATGAAAAAGGGGTGTAGCGGAAATCTAAGGCCGGCCCTAATTGAGTCAAAGTGGACTATGGTCATTCCGGGCCTATGACGCATTGGGTGAAGCCCAGCTTGCAAACGAAAATCCACCGGGTCAGGGATAAGGGCCGGAATTTCGGCCCTATTGTGAGAGGTCAATTTTTGCCGCCTCTCCCTAATCAATTTTAGGTCAAGGATATGGCGAGGAACATCGTTGGGACGTCCGGCCGCCATGGAGGCTATTTCGTCCTCGGATTTGGTGTCGTCGGAATCCTCACTGGAGGAAGAAGAAGTGCTAGGGAAGTCCTCCGCCTCAGCCCTGGTATTCGTCGCCGTCCCAGTAGAAACACCGGCGAACGGTACTGTGATGACATCTACAATGGCGGCGTCACGGTCATCTCCATGAGAGGCCATCTCCGAATCAGAGGAATGCTCGTTGGGGCTCATCTCAATCGAAGCCAGAAATGAAGATAGGGAATCCGGAGTTGGGAAATTACGTGAGCAAAGGAAGCAGGGAGAAAATTGCAGAGGAAACAACGAAGGCCAAGGAATTGCAGAGTCGAAACCCGGAATTGAGAAGTTAAAGGCTAATTTATAGCCTTGAAAACCGCCGTGTCGAGAACCAATCAGAGAGCGACACGTCACTAGGAGCATTTAAGCTAAACACGTGTCTATTGAAAAGACTAAACGACGGTTATCATGATGAATATGGGGAAATGAAGCGGCAGCCGTCGAATCGCAGCATGGGGAACTGATTACTTCTGTACCCCGATCGTCATTCGGGGTATTATAACATTGATATACTTCCTAATGCACTCACTTCGTTCGAGACATCGGAAGTGGGGGACTTGTGTTGGGATATTGACCTAGAGGCCCAATACCCAGATCGGGAAGGCCCAAGATATCCGGCCCAAGCAACAGGCCCATCACTCTATAATGAATAGATCCAGTAAGAAGACATACCGAACGGGGTTCGGGCTATATATCATACTTGGGCCAATTTGACAGCATCTTCAGTACAGCCCAACATCCCGTTCGAGCAACGGCCAACCAGCAAGTGGCCAGGTGCAATTAATGCCAGACTATGACATCAGCAAGTGGAAGCATGGATGACCAAGTCGGTGGAACAACGGCCAATCAACAAGAGGCAGCCCATGCTCTCCATTAGTATAAATAGAAGGTTTCAAGTCATTGTAAGGGTTAGCATTTCAATACTCAAGCTCTAGAATAGCATCATTTGCCCTTACTTCTTGTATTAAAGCATAGTTTCCGACATACCGATCGGGAATTTCCTTGTAATCAGATTGGTTAATTAATACAAGTGAGCTTTCGAGTTTTAGTTAGTTCAGATCTTATATTTTCTTATACGCTTTGATTCTGGGCCATTCCTGATATATCCAAAGTTCGTGTTGGGCTTTCGGATCTACGAGATTTACCCTCAACAAATATAAAATCAAATGTACAGCCTAAATGATACGTAGTAAGTAGTATATAAGAGAGAATCAAATAATCAACCATATACATATGAGCAGATAAAATCAAATAAGAAAACGAGGGTGATTGTTATTATTACTCTGTATTAATGATATTAATAAAAAAAAAAATTAAAACTAGGTATGACTAAAACTCATCCACTTTCTCAATACATGACCTCATTACTTCTCCCCTCCCCCAAAAAAAACAATACTCTATATATAAATTCGTAATATTTATTACAATAAATAACTAAATAAATAAAGTTTATGGACTAATTTGCCCTTACATTTTTTTACCAGAATATACTCTTAGATTGATATTATAAAACTCCAACTTCCTACTCGTTTCCTAAAAACCACATCACCGCGACACACACCTCCCATGAGTAGGAAGTTAGAGTTTTATAATATCAAAATCTAAGAGAATATTCTGGTAAAAAAAATTTAAGGGCAAATTAGTACATAAAATTTATTTATTTATTTATTTTAATAAATATTACGAATTTAAATACGGAGTATTGTTTTTTTGGGAGGAGAGGAACTATGAGGTCATGTATTGAGAAAGTGGATAAATTTTAATGAGACCTAGTTTAATTTTTTATTGATATAATTATTAATAATAATAATAACAATCACCCTCGTTTTCTTATTTAACTTTATCTGCTCATATGTATATAATTGATTATTTGATTCTCTCTTATAAACTACGTGTTATTTAGGCCGTACATTTGATTTTAAATTATTTATTTATAATTTTTATATGTGTATGTGTACATATATGTATATTTTAAAAAACTAGATCAGCTACTTAAATTTTAAGAATGATTGTATTTGTTGGGATATATTATCTCGACCTGCTACTGTTCAGAGGCTCAATGCATCATCCCGGCATGGAGCCCGGTCGGCGAGGCCCATTTAGGCCTACCTGGCCCATTTTCGGCCCATCGGCCCATACTTCGGCCCAACTACCCATTTAGGCCCATTGGCCCATTAGAATAGATTGATAACCTTCCCATTTTCTATAAATAGGGGACTGGGCTTCCTATGGAGGGGACGGTTTTTTAGCTCTGCACTTCTTCTTCCTCTTAGTTTATTTCATACTCCATTAATGGAGGTTCGATACATGTATTATGTAATTAAGAGATGAGAGCATATTAATGAAAAAGAGCGGGCTTGGACATTAGCCTAAAAAGTCTCGTGGTTTTCTCCCTTTCCGGGTTTCCACGTAAAAATAGCTACTTTATACACTTTTATATATTTATTATTCATTTCTATACTAAGAGCCCGTTTGGTAGCACGAAAATCGGCTGATTCTGCTGAAATTTATGAAGTTCTGGCTGAAGTGGCTGCATTGGCTGATTCTGCTGATCTAAGAAAAAAATATTTTTAAAATATATTTTATTAATAAAATAAAGAAAAAATTATATGTAAAAATAGCTAAAATGGTCATCTACAGTAACTTTAGCCAATACAGCCACAGAAGTAACTTCAACCTTACTTTTTCTGCTTATTACACAATTCAGCGCGCGAAAGCAAACGTTACGTGTTTGGTGAAAAAATTGGCTGATAAGTCTGATAAGCCGAAAAACAGTGTTGCCAAACGGTCTCTAAATTTATGATCCTTAATATCCGAAGTTATGTTGGGCTTTTGATCTACGAGACTAAAACTAAACATTGGCGTCGTCGGTGGGAAACGCTTCAAAAAGATTCATGTTCTGCAAAAAATAAAATTGATAGCAAGAGCTACTAATCTCAGCAAGAAACGAAGGAGAAAACAAAGAAGAAATTCGAGATCCAATCCAGCGGTGTGTGGTCATTGTTCAAATCACTCCACTCCGGCCACACTCCGAAAGTAACTGATAAAGCGGAAGCAGGAGGTTGACCAAGTGCAAAGAACTAAAGAAGATGTGAAGTGGGCCCATGCACCCACTAGCTATCTATCCTGGCCTGACAACAAAACACGTGATTGAGTCACCCTTATCCAAAAGTAAATGCCGGCTACCGAATGAAATGTTGGGAATAACAGGATCGTGCTAATATGAGAGAAAAACATTTCTATTACTTTCAAGAATAGAAAGAAGAGACATACAAGCTCTAATTAAAAAACTCTCAAAACAACACCTCACATATCTCTCAAGGATATTCACAACTCTTCTTGGTTGTGCTATGATGATCTATTCTAATTTACTTGATGATAGAAAGACTCTCCAAGCTCTCTATTTATAGCACCAAAACTAGGTACTATGAAGGTGGGAGGAAGGTGGGATTAAACATGAGGAAACTTTGAGGAAGCTCCCTTTGTCATTCTTGCACATGGATGAAGCTTCATGGTTGTTGCTTGCACATGGAGGAAGCTTCATGGTTGTTGCAATTGGATTCTTCAATTTACTTGTACTTGGATATGTCCTGGAAATTGAATTCTTCAATTCTCCCCTTCCAGGCATATTCAAAACAAACATCCCGACTATGTCTCTGCATAGCTCTAGCTTATCTCGTGTCACCACCTTTGTCAGCATCCTGAAAGACCCTCGAACCCCGAACGAGGGAGTCCTAGGAGGATCCCGAGCCTGGAATGGGAGGTCTCAAGGCCCCACACCATCAGCAGGAAAGAAACAGCAGATGTCCGAACGTCCTTCAACAATACCTTAAGGACCAAGCGGACTGGTCGGGCATCGGATGGCTGGTCTCGAAGTCTTTGCTTCCGAAATTATTTCTGTGAGGAGTGAGAAAATGCAATTTTGACAAATACCCCAGATGGATTATCTCGCGACCGGCAGCCCACCACTCGGCCGCGGACCAACAACGGACCCAAGGTATCAGCAATGAAGCTGACAGGCGGGTGCCAGTCAGCGGTCGAACACCGATCAGCACCTCGCGGCCCTGTCCGGCTTGAACCGTAGCCGCTCGGGCCACCCGTTCGGCTAAACCTTCGCCGGCCGGCGAAATTTCTGCTCGCTCCAAGATCTCCGGCCACCAGAACGAAGTGGCTGCCCGGTCTTCTAGAGTTTTCTGAACCGATGGCCAATGGGCTGGAGTAGCCCGAGCGAATCGAAAGGGGACCTTCCGCACCGTATAAGCTCCAGACGCAGTCATCACCTAGCCAAGTTCCGGTGCACCGCCGTACGGCTTCTGGCCGTTCAGTTTTACCGACCGGCACCTTCCCGTCCGCCGAGGTCTGTTTTGCTGTCCAATTTTTGCCCTGCATTACCGACCGGCATCTCCTGGCTTGCAATGATGAATTATGTCTCTTCACTATGGGCTATTAAAGCAAACTCCCTTGGTGGATTTATCGGAGGATGGGCCATTAAAGCTCTCCACTACGCCTCTCCACCGGGTGCCAAACGGGAAATGTGTGGATTTCTCTCGAAGCAATCACTCTTCACGACATCTTCAAGAGCTAAGTACCACAATATTCTCACTTGTTAATTAATTTCAAATAGCATTTTTTGGAACGCTTGTCATCACCATTACGTGTTAGGGATTAAAATATCCCGAATTAAATAATGATTGAGCGAAGCTCTGGTGATGACTTTACCGTCATTTAGATAAATCATTGGTTTTGGTATGACCTATCGGCCTATCCCGATCGGCTCAAATGTGCTGACTGAAAGCGTCTCGCAAAAGACGTAGTCCGATAACGTAATTTTAATTATGAGGATCATCCATGGTCCCAATCGGCAGTACGTACTTTGATTAGATAGGGTTTTTCTAAGAATGCCCAATAAACCACTAAGTGGTTCTGATAGCACCTGAGCAGTGCAAAAAATAAATCTAGGCCAAGGGTTATTATACCACTTTGGCCAGTAGTCATAAATATTACACGTGTGTGTATACGTGTATATGTTGTTCGGCCGTGCGGCCGTATTACTTTGCTCATTATGCAGTAGAATTCGTTCGACATGCTCGAACTGGGAGATCCATGATGTTTGGCATGAAGCGCGGAGACGCTCATGATTGGCAACATAATGAGATTCAGGGGAAGCCGTTCAGTCAGCTCGAACGGAGAAATCACGAAGCGCGAAGACGTTCGTGACTGGCAACGCAAAGAGATTTAGGCAAAGTCGTTCGGTCAGCTCGAAAGAGGAGATCACGAAGCGCATAGACGTTTATGATTAAAAAAATACTAGGAAAGGAGTTGTACGAAAGATACTAGGAAAGGAGTTGTACGAGATACCGTTCGGAGCCATTCAAGATTCAGAGAAGAAGATAGAGAATTCAGAAAGGGAGACATAACCCAGAGAGTCTCACCTCGGCTTTTAACATGTATAGTCATCTCGACGAAAAAATGACTTTCGTGTTAACGGTTTAGAGGGAGCCGCCATCTCAGCTAAAATTTTGACCCTGTGATCACGATCAAAACGGCTTGGAGGGATTCACCTCAGCTAAAAGATTTTTTGACCCCGTGGATCACGAACGATAAAGGGATCAAAACGGCTTGGGAATGGTGTCAGAACAAGTATTGTCAAAGCGAGCGACGTTCGGTAACATGAATTTGTCATCCGGGGAGGCACTACTTTCAGAGAGTCTCACCTCAGCTTGTTAACACGTGGGATCATTCCGGATGACCGAATGACGAACGGGTTAACAGCTTGGAGGGAGCCACCATTTCAGCTTAAGTAGGAATTCACCCGATCTAGTGATCTTGCTTACAGTTTGAATATGGTCACCACAACCCCCTAATATGGATGATACGAATCAGAGGAAACTCTTCGGAATGCATCGGAATTATGGGTTTGGAAGGGAGAGAGTCTCACCTCAGCTTTTAACATGTAGAATCATTCCGGATGACCGAATGACGAACGTGTTAACAGTTTGGAGGGAGCCATCATTTCAGCTAGCAGAATTTGACTCAATCAGGACTCGTCCATCCTTGATCTAGGATGGAGAACGCCACTTTTTATGCAGCACGAACGGGCTCCACAGCACCGTCGTGCCTGACTCTCGGTCGGGCTCGTCCATCCTTGATCTAGGATGATGACCGCCGCTTTTTATGCAGCACGAACGGGCTCCACAGCACCGTCGTGCCTGACTCTCGGTCGGGCTCGTCCATCCTTGATCTAGGATGACGACCGCCGCTTTTTATGCAGCACGAATGGGCTCCACAGCACCGTCGTGCTTGACTCTCGGTCGGGTTCGTCCATCCTTGATCTAGGATGACAACCGTCACTTTTATGCATCACGAACGGGCTCCACAGCACCGTCGTGCCTGACTCTCGGTCGGGTTTGTCCATCCTTGATCTAGGATGACAACCGCCACTTTTATGCTGCACGAACGGGCTCCACAGCACCGTCGTGCCTGACTCTCGGTCGGGTTCGTCCATCCTTGATCAAGGATGACAACCGCCGCTTTTTATGTAGCACGAACGGGCTCCACAGCACCGTCGTGCCTGACTCTCGATCAGGACTCGTCCATTCTTGATCTAGGATGGCGAACGCCGCTTTTTATGCAGCACGAACGGGCTCCACAGCACCGTCGTGTCTGACTCTCGGTCGGGTTCGTCCATCCTTGATCTAGGATGACAACCGCCACTTTTTATGCAGCACGAACGGGCTCCACAGCACCGTCGTGCCTGACTCTCGATCAGGACTCGCCCATCCTTGATCTAGGATGGCGAACGCCGCTTTTTATGCAGCACGAACGGGCTCCACAGCACTGTCGTGTCTGACTCTCGGTCGGGCTCGTCCATCCTTGATCTAGGATGATGACCGCCGCTTTATGCAGCACGAATGGTTGACACATCAGCGCCGTCGTGCCTTCTTTTTTATCAGGCTCGTCGGTCCTTAATCTAGGATGCCGACCGTCACTTTTATGCAGCACGAGCGACTGGCTCTACAGCGCCATCGTGCCTAGTGTGGGGGCTACACCTCACCTGTCACTTATGCATACCTTGCGTCCGAGACTATTCGAAGACGCTGATTCAGGGAAGGCAATGAAGGACTTGAGCAAGAGTATACTTTCTCGAGTAGATTCACAGGCTCACTACTCAAGAAACTGGGGGACTTGTGTTGGGATATATTATCCCGGCCTGCTACTGTTCAGAGGCTCAATGCATCACCCCGGCATGGAGCCCGGTCGAATAGGGGGCTGGGCTTCCTATGGAGGGGACGGCTTTTTAGCTCTCCACTTCTTCTTCCTCTTAGTTTATTTCATACTCCATTAATGGAGGTTCGATACATGTATTATGTAATTAAGAGATGAGAGCATATTAATGAAAAAGAGCGGGCTTGGACATTAGCTTAAAAAGTCCCGTAGTTTTCTCCCTTTCCGGGTTTTCACGTAAAAATAGCTAGTTTATACACTTTTATATATTTATTATTCATTTCTATACTAAATTTATGATCCTTAATATCCGAAGTTATGTTGGGCTTTTGATCTACGGGACTAAAACTCAACAGTATTATTCCAAAATGTTTAAAATTATGAGATGTTAATAAATTAATTAGCTTCCGTCAAAGTTAACGGCAAATCTAACGGAATGACTCGATTAATATAGATCAAATAGATTAAGGACTAAAATGATAGATTTAATAGTTCAAGGACCAAAATGATATGATGATGATAGTTCAAGGACTATTGATGCATTTTACTCTTTATAAATTACTAAAGTACTTTAAAATTACTATCTCCTTAATTTATACTAGCTGATCATTTCTAACTACTTAGTGATTTACTAAAAAACTATTTTGTTGTTAAGTGCCATTTTGGTAATAGCCAGATCAGCTGTATTGGCTGATTCTTCTGAAATTTATGAGGTATTGGCTGATGTGACTGTATTGGCTGATTCTGCTGATTTTTGAAAATAATATTTTAAAATACATTTTATTAATAAAATAAAGAAAAAATTATGTGAAAAATAGCTAAAATGGACTCCTACCGTAACTTAAGCCAATACAGCCAGAAAAGTAGCTTCAACCTTATTTTTTCTTATTATTAATAATTCAGTCCGTAAAACCAAAAGTTACATGTTTAGTAAAGAATTTGGCTTATAAGCCTAAAAAGCAAAAAATCATGGCTACCAAACATGCACTAAATATCATTAACTAACGAGTAAATTCCCTAAATAGGAGTAAAATTGTTTTGAAATTCCAAAATAGGAGTATCATGTTTTTTATTCCCTAAATAGGAGCAAATTTCTGCCAAGTTTGGCATTACCAGGCTTTTAAATATGACATTTTTTCCCAAACTTGGCAGATTACTCCTATTTAGGAAATAAAAAACATGATACTCTTATTTTGGAATTTCAAAACGTTTTTACTCCTATTTAGGGCAATTTCTATTAACTACACTAATGATTTTTGGGAACTCTTTCATCCAAATAATCTCATAACGTATTATCTACTCCTAAATATTACGTATACAAAAATAAAAAATTGGAATCGGAACCGAACAGAGATGAAACCATAATCGCCGGTTTTGGATCAGGTATTGTACGATTCCGGTTTCGGTTCTCCAAATGTTGGAACCGTGAACCGGCGATTCGTTTTCGGTTCCAGTTCTAATCGCGGACAAGCCTAGGTACACTAGTCCAAACCGAGACCCTTTACCACCACACTAGTCGCAGTTCAAGATATTTGGCCTGGGGACCGACCAGTCTCGATCTGGAACCAGACCAGATCGACCCCGAGTCCATCCCTGATTGAACAATAGGCATAGAAGAACATGTACTAGATATTTTAATATTTAAAAATATTTAAGGGATTGGAAAACATTTTAGAAATATTAAAAAATATTCCTAATATATACTTAGTTATTGCCTCTACGCTTATACGATAGTAGATAGTACTGTATATTAGTAAGAAAAACTTTTTCGTCTGTCACCGTCCCCAAACTTCCAACTTCGCCCATATTCTCTCGTAAGAATGACTTCGTCGCGTCGGTCAAAGCTATCTTGGAAAACTTCTGGCAAGCGTACTCCCCGAGTGCTCATTTCTGCACCCCTTAATGGGGATGACAATTCTGGCTCAAGAAGAGTTTCACTTCTTCCTGTGGGACTCAAGAGCACTCGCACCGGCAAGCCTCGTACCGCCAGAGTGCCAATTGCAGTGCATGGGAGTCAAATTTCTGCAGGTATGTCAAGAAGAGCACCATCACATCTTAGCTGGGCATTGAAGGGCTTTAGAACCGGAAAGGGTACCCCAAAGATCCAAATTGCAGGCCACTTTGGAGGTCAAACTTCTGCAAGTCGATCAAGAAGAGCACTTCCACATCTTCATTGGGGATTGAAGGGCTTTAGAACTGGAAAGGGTACCCCAAAAATCGAAATTGCAGGCCACGTTGGGGTCAATGTTCTGCAGCTCGTTCAAGAAGATCACCTCCACGCCTTATCTGGGGATTCAGGCGCTTTAGAACTGGACAGGGTGCCCCAAGAATCCAAATTGCAGGGCTTGGGGGTCAAAGTTCTGCAGCTCGATCAAGAAGAGGACTTCCACGCCTTTGCTGGGGATTCAGGCGCTCTAGAACTGGAAAGGGTGCCACAAGAATCCATGTTGCAGGACAGGATGAGGGTCAAAGTTCAGCACCTCGATCAAGAGCGCCTCCTCTTCGCTGGGGGCTCAGGCGCTCTAGAACGGGAAAGGGTGCCCCAAGAATCCAAATTGCAGGGCAGGGTCAATGTTCTGCAGCTGCGTTGACTTCACATCCCACAGTATCGACCGAAATGTGCGTTGAGGCCCTCTTGGACCTAGCGGCAGGTGATCCACCGCTTCATGATGAACCTAGCTTCATGGAGAGGATCCAAGCACAGGGCAGCACTAAAAAGTAAGCTTTGTTCTTCAATCAATCAGTACATTTAGATGGTCTTCATGATGAACCGTGTCTTCAAACAATCACAGATCTATGTCTTGTACATTTACACTTTAAGGAGTACATTCTGTAAATAGTATCTACCGTATAAAATCACACATCACACAATAATCATCAAGTAAAATACACAGTATTTAGGTAGAATTAAGCGTCAATTACTGGATAAAAACAACAAACAAACTAGCACTTGTGCATGGAAGCCTACAATTTACTAGTGAAACATGTATCACTTTGTTTCATTCATATCCAATAGTAATGCCAAATAAATGGGGCAAACAAACTAGCACTTGTGCATAAGCTTTTTTTACCCCCAGCCTTTATGGTCGAACAAAAGCTTCTGCTAGATCTCATGAGGAAAGTTAGCTTAAAAAAGCTGAGGATCCATAACTACAGAGTCGATTTCATGATCATCGAGTTTTATTTGCCCCATTTATTTGGCATTACTATTGGATATGATTGAAACAAAGTGATACATGTTTCACTAGTAAATTGTAGGCTTCCATGCACAAGTGCTAGTTTGTTTGTTGTTTTTATCCAGCAATTGACGCTTAATTCTACCTAAATACTGTGTATTTTACTTGATGATTATTGTGTGATGTGTGATTTTATACGGTAGATACTATTTACAGAATGTACTCCTTAAAGTGTAAATGTACAAGACATAGAACTGTGATTGTTTGAAGACACGGTTCATCATGAAGACCATCTAAATGTACTGATTGATTGAAGAACAAAGCTTACTTTTTAGTGCTGCCCTGTGCTTGGATCCTCTTCATGAAGCTAGGTTCATCATGAAGCGGTGGCTCACCTACCGCTAGGTCCAAGAGGGCCTCAACGCACATTTCGGTCGATACTGTGGGATGTGAAGTCAACGCAGCTGCAGAACATTGACCCTGCCCTGCAATTTGGATTCTTGGGGCACCCTTTCCCGTTCTAGAGCGCCTGAGCCCCCAGCGAAGAGGAGGCGCTCTTGATCGAGGTGCTGAACTTTGAACCTCATCCTGTCCTGCAACATGGATTCTTGTGGCACCCTTTCCAGTTCTAGAGCGCCTGAATCCCCAGCAAAGCAAAGGCGTGGAAGTCCTCTTCTTGACCGAGCTGCAGAACTTTGACCCCCAAGCCCTGCAATTTGGATTCTTGGGGCACCCTGTCCAGTTCTAAAGCGCCTGAATCCCCAGATAAGGCGTGGAGGTGATCTTCTTGAACGAGCTGCAGAACATTGACCCCAACGTGGCCTGCAATTTCGATTTTTGGGGTACCCTTTCCAGTTCTAAAGCCCTTCAATCCCCGATGAAGATGTGGAAGTGCTCTTCTTGATCGACTTGCAGAAGTTTGACCTCCAAAGTTGCCTGCAATTTGGATCTTTGGGGTACCCTTTCCGGTTCTAAAGCCCTTCAATGCCCAGCTAAGACGTGATGGTGCTCTTCTTGACATACCTGCAGAAATTTGACTCCCATGCACTGCAATTGGCAATCTGGCGGTACGAGGCTTGCCGGTGCGAGTGCTCTTGAGTCCCACAGGAAGAAGTGAAACTCTTCTTGAGCCAGAATTGTCATCCCCATTAAGGGGTGCAGAAATGAGCACTCAGGGACTACGCTTGCCAGAAGTTTTCCAAGATAGCTTTGACCGACGTGACGAAGTCATTCTTACGAGAGAATATGGGCGAAGTTGGAAGTTTGGGGACGGTGACAGACGAAAAAGTTTTTCTTACTAATATACAGTACTATCGTATAAGCGTAGAGGCAATAACTAAGTATATATTAGGAATATTTTTTAATATTTCTAAAATGTTTTCCAATCCCTTAAATATTTTTAAATATTAAAATATCTAGTACATGTTCTTCTATGCCTATTGTTCAATTAGGGATGGACTCGGGGTCGATCTGGTCTGGTTCCAGATCGAGACTGGTCGGTCCCCAGGCCAAATATCTTGAACTGCGACTAGTGTGGTATTAAAGGGTCTCGGTTTGGACTAGTGTACCTAGGCTTGTCCGCGATTAGAACTAGAACCGAAAACGAATCGCCGGTTCGCGATTCCAACTTTTGGAGAACCGAAACCGGAACCGTACAATACCTGATCCAAAACCGGCGATTATGGTTTCATCTATGTTCGGTTCCAATTCCAATTTTTTATTTTTGTATACGTAATATTTAGGAGTAGATAATACGTTATGAGATTATTTGGATGAAAGAGTTCCCAAAAATCATTAGTGTAGTTAATAGAAATTGCCCTAAATAGGAGTAAAAACGTTTTGAAATTCCAAAATAAGAGTATCATGTTTTTTATTTCCTAAATAGGAGTAATCTGCCAAGTTTGGGAAAATGTCATATTTAAAAGCCTGGTAATGCAAAACTTGGCAGAAATTTGCTCCTATTTAGCGAATAAAAAACATGATACTCCTATTTTGGAATTTCAAAACATTTTTACTCCTATTTAGGGAATTTACTCGTTAGTTAATGATATTTAGTGCATGTTTGGTAGCCATGATTTTTTACTTTTTAGGCTTATAAGCCAAATTCTTTACTAAACATGTAACTTTTGGTTTTACGGACTGAATTATTAATAATAAGAAAAAATAAGGTTGAAGCTACTTTTCTGGCTGTATTGGCTTAAGTTACGGTAGGAGTCCATTTTAGCTATTTTTCACATAATTTTTTCTTTATTGTATTAATAAAATGTATTTTAAAATATTATTTTCAAAAATCAGCAGAATCAGCCAATACAGTCACATCAGCCAATACCTCATAAATTTCAGAAGAATCAGCCAATACAGCCGATCTGACTATTACCAAACGGGCACTTAACAACAAAATAGTTTTTTAGTAAATCACTAAGTAGTTAGAAATGATCAGCTAGTATAAATTAAGGAGATAGTAATTTTAAAGTACTTTAGTAATTTATAAAGAGTAAAATGCATCAATAGTCCTTGAACTATCATCACCATATCATTTTGGTCCTTGAACTATTAAATCTATCATTTTAGTCCTTAATCTATTTGATTTATAATAATCGAGTCCTTCCGTTAGATTTGCCGTCAACTTTGTCGGAAGCTAATTAATTTATTAACATCTCATAATTTTAAACATTTTGCAATAATACAATCATTCTTAAAATTTAAGTAGCTGATCTAGTTTTTTTAAATATACATATATGTACACATACACATATAAAAATTATAAATAAATAATATAAAATCAAATGTACGGCCTAAATAACACGTAGTTTATAAGAGAGAATCAAATTATCAATTATATACATATGAGCAGATAAAATTAAATAAGAAAACGAGGGTGATTGTTATTATTATTATTAGTTATATCAATAAAAAAATTAAACTAGGTCTCATTAAAACTTATCCACTTTCTCAATACATGACCTCATTAGTTCCTCTCCTCCCAAAAAAACAATACTCCGTATTTAAATTCGTATTATTTATTAAAATAAATAAATAAATAAATAAATAAATAAATTTTATGTACTAATTTGCCCTTAATTTTTTTTACCAGAATATTCTCTTAGATTTTGATATTATAAAACTCTAACTTCCTACTCATGGGAGGTGTGTGTCGCGGCGATGTGGATTTTTAGGAAACGAGTAGGAAGTTGGAGTTTTATAATATCAATCTAAGAGTATATTCCGGTAAAAAAATGTAAGGGCAAATTAGTCCATAAACTTTATTTATTTATTTATTTATTGTAATAAATATTACGAATTTATATATAGAGTATTGTTTTTTTTTGGGGGAGGGGGGAAGTAATGAGGTCATGTATTGAGAAAGTGGATGAGTTTTAGTCATACCTAGTTTTAATTTTTTTTTATTAATATCATTAATACAGAGTAATAATAACAATCACCCTCGTTTTCTTATTTGATTTTATCTGCTCATATGTATATGGTTGATTATTTGATTCTCTCTTATATACTACTTACTACGTATCATTTAGGCTGTACATTTGATTTTATATTATTTATTTATAAAATTTATATGTGTATGTGTACATATATGTATATTTAAAAAAACTAGATTAGCTACTTAAATTTTAAGAATGATATTTGTTGAGTGTAAATCCCGTAGATCCGAAAGCCCAACACGAACTTTGGATATATCAGGAATGACACAGAATCAAAGTATATAAACAAAATATAAAATATGAACTCACTAATACTCGAAAGCTCACTTGTATTAACTAACCAGTCTGATTACAAGGAATTTCCCGATCGGTAGGTCGGAAACAATGCTTTAATACAAGAAATAAGAGCAATGATGCTATTCTAGAGTCTGAGTATTGAAATGCTAACCCTTACAATGACTTAAAACCTTCTATTTATACTAATGGAGAGCATGGGCTGCCCTATGCTGATTGGCCGTTGTTCCACCGACTTGGTCACCCATGTTTCCACTTGCTGATGTCACAATCTGGCATTAATTGCGCCTGGCCACTTGCCGGTTGGCCGTTGCTCGAACGGGATGTTGGGCTATGCTGAAGATGCATATATAGTCCGAACTCCGTTCGGTATGTCTTCTTACTGGGCCAACCCTTATTTGGGCCGAATCTCGTTCGGCACTAATTCTACCTTGATTATCTTATCATAGCGTGATGGGCCCGTTGCTTGGGTCGGGTATCTTGGGCCTTCCTGACCCGGGTATTGGGCCTCTGGATCAATAACCCAACACAAGTCCCCCCTTTCGATGTCTCGAACGATAGTGAGTGCATTAGGAAGTATGAATACCAATGTTGTAATACTCCGAATGGCGATCGGGGTACAGAAGTAATCAGTTCCCCATGCTGCGATTTGACGACTGTCGCTTCATTTCCCCATATTCATCATGGTAACCGTCGTTTAGTCTTTTCATTGCACACGCGTTTAGCTTAAAAGCTCCTAGTGACGTGTTGCTCCCTGATTGGTTCTTGACACGACGGTTTCAAGGCTATAAATTAGCCTTTATCTTCTCAAATCCGGGTTTCGATTTTGCAATTCTCTGCACCTTGTTGATTTCTAAGATTTCTCGCAGCCTTCGTCGTTCAGGTATTCTCCCTCCCTTGCTTCCTTGCGTCATCCCTGATTCGGTCGAGATGAATTCCCAACAACGTTCTGATTCGGAAATGGCTTCTCAAGGGGAGGACCGTGATGTGGAGATTATCACCGTACCTTTTGATGAAGGATCCAAGGCAACAACGGCGGAAGTTAGGGCGGAGACAGGCGACTCTTCTAGTAGTTCTTCTTCCTCCAGTGAAGATTCCGACGATACCAAATTCGAGGACGAATTAGCCTCCACGGCGGCCGGACGTCCCAACGATTTCCCTCGCCATACCCTTGACCTAAAACTGATTAGGGAGAGGCGGCAAAAACTGACCTCCCATAATAGGGCCGAAATTCCGGCCCTTATCCCTGACCCGGTGGATTTCCGTTTGCAAGCTGGGCTTCACCCAATGCGTCATAGGCCCGGAATGACTATAGTTCATTTTGACTCGATTAGGGCCGACCTTAGGTTTCCGCTACACCCCTTTTTCATTTCATTTTTTAATTTCTACGAAGTTGTACCAGCCCAAATTATGCCGAACTCCTATCGGGCAATGACGGATTTTATTTGCCGTTGCAAAGATGCCGGTGCCCGACCAACCGTAGAACTCTTCCATCAATTTTTCAAGGTTGCCCCCCAACAAACCCACGGCTATCTGGCCACTAGTGCCCGAACGGGACACATCCTGTTCAAGGGAAACCCAACCTCAATCAAAGGGTGGAAAGACCGATTTTTCTTCGTGTCTGTCCCGGACGGCCTAATTCCCCACAAATGGAATGCCTTCCCCCGCAAGACTCCTGATCCAGTCCTCACTGAAGAAATTTACAAGGACGTGCTTGCTGTGGAGAAGGATAAATGCATGGACATCATGAGTTATCTGACTCCCGATCGACTTGTTAAAGCCGGGATAGGTACTGCCCGTTCTCTTGGGTTTACTTGTTTTGAGAAACCAAGTGCCATGGTTCGGGCGGTCCTTCCCGTGCGAGAAACGTTCTTTTGTTCTTTTTTCTAGTTTCTCACACGCTAAGGCCGCTCGATACTAACATTGTCCTTTGTCTTTTTTCAGCACCAAACCCAGATCTACCCATGGACGATAGCAGAGTTATTGCAGCCGGTGGGGTCGGTAAACGGAAAAAGGCCAGGAAGACTCCCCAACCTACTCCCTCTATTGTTCCTGCCCAGGATGCTGGGTCTTTTCAACCACTTCCAGAGCCACAGCCGATACAGCATGTCCATCAGGACCAATTCGATGTCATGCTGGTCGACGATCGGTTTGGCTCTGATCAACTGCATCAGTTCTCCCAACACTTCGACTCCGTTCAGGGGAACCCTCGAACGTAAGTGGGACTCATACCGACCATATCACTGGTCAGGTTGAGCGGATCTTCTTATTGGATCCTGTTCACGAGGTGTTAGAAAGGGCTGGTTCTACCGCGAGCCAGATCTGGTCGACATCCTCCTGGTTCAACAATTTCTCCCTTCCTCAGTTGCCGGTCGAGCAATCTGAAGAATGCCTGGCCTTGACCGCTCTGAAGGTATATTATCTTTTGCGCTCTGTTTTTATTTTATTCTCTGTAATCAGTACTAACTCTCGAACGGTGCTCTGTAGATGGGTTTGTACACCCTGCAAATGCGGGAAGCCCGTCTGGCCAAGGAACGGGAACTGATTGTTGCTCAATCTTCTGCTGAGCAAAACGCTGCCGCCGCCATCACCTCTCTGGAGGCCGAACGGAGGGTCTTTGTGGAGGAGAAACAGAGGCTGGATGCTGAGCTCGGTACCCTTCGGGTCCAACTTGCAGCTTCCCAGGCAAAGGTCATTGCTGCCGAGGCCGCACAGATCAAGTTTGAGGAAATGCCCTCCAGCATCCCGGACGGGCCCCTATGAAGTGAATGTGGATCTGTCCGCCGTCCGGGAAACATTTAAATCCTCTGATGAATTCTCCATCATCAAGGATGATCATGCAAGGACGCAAATCCCGTTTGCCTTTGGAGCATACCTGAAGGGTTTTCCTAAAGGTGCTGGTCGGCTCTCAGCAGGGGTGGCTCTCTTGGACAAGGACCCTGAGGCCAAGAAATGGAATGACTCCATCGTTACAGATCTTTATGCCAAGATCGGCCAGGTCCTGCTGCGTCCCTTCGTCGCTCAACTTCAAAACAATCTGGGGAGGCCGGTTCAGGCTTCTGATCTTCCCCAGGACGACATTATACAAGCTCAATTCGAGAAACTTCAGCGAGATCAGCAACGGGAAGCTGACCGGGCTGCTGGGAGAGAGCCTGAACCCCCGTCTGATGATGATGAAGACGAGGATGAAGAGGGAGAGGAGATGGCCCCTGGCCAATAATTTATATGTTTACTTTTTAATTAATCGTTATAATTCTCTTTCCTTTATGTAGCTTGTACTTCCCGGTCAGTAGAACCGATGAATACAGATCTTTTGTTTTGCACAAAACACCTCTGTCTTTTTTGCGCTTTTTGAATGTTTACTCACCATTCGGGATTCGGCCTGTTTTGTAGGACTTAACCAATTTCCTGACTTTATTTCTTACTTAAATACTCCTAATGCCGTTGATCGCCGTTCGGGCATTGGAGGGTTCTGATAATTTAACAAGGAAAAAACTCCTTCTCTCTGGGACTCAGCCGTTCAGGCTTCAGATCATTTTTTAGGACTTGGCACATTCTGGCTTCAGATAATATTTTTCAATGTTGATAGCCGGTCGGGCTTCAGATCAATTCTTAGGACAGTCCATTCTGGCTCCAGATAATCTTTTACAATGTTGATAGCCGGTCGGGCTTCAGATCAATTCTTAGGACTTAGCTGTTTTCTTGGTTTTCTTCGCACCCGGGCTTCTTCGTAAATTGGTAGCCGTTCGGGCTTCAGATCAATTTTTTGGACAGCACATTTGATTTCAGATAACCTTTTACGACGTGGATAGTCGGTCGGGCTTCAGATCAATTTTTAGGACTTAGCCATTTTCTTGGTTTTTCTAACCAGCAAGTCCCTGTGATCTTTGCTAATCCTCTGCAAGCCCGTACGTCATTCGGTAATCGATGATCTAAATAGATTTTAGCCATTCCCCCGTAATCTTTACTGATCCTCTGTAAACCCGTTCGGGGTACGTGCACAAAAATGAACCATAAATGCCCCAGATTAATCGTAACCACTTAATGCCACGTGTTGCTCATGGATTAGGGATTTATGCGGCACTTTCCCTATTTATAGAGAGGTGCTTCCCCTAATTTCTCCTGCTGTTTTCTCACTTTTCTTTCAAGCTTTCTCTCTCTAGAACTCCCAGAATTATCTTGCGTACTTTCAAGCTTTCTCTTTCTAGAATTCCTAGAGTTTCTCCAGTGTTTTTATGTATTACCCCTCTAGCTCAGAATCTGAAGAGATGTCGTTGATTCGCACAAGTAAAACATCCGCTGGTAACAAAGCCGAAGGCTCTTCTTCCCAAATACCTAAAACCGCCAATCCCCAGGCAGGCAAACACACTGAACAGCCACAAGATGATGGATGTCTGTCAGGTGATGATGTCCGGGTGTATAACAAGGGGATGCCCGAACGGCCACCCCGCATTCCCCTACACTTCACTCGTATCCGCAAACAAAAACAACGCCTCCCAGAAGATATCGAACGACAACTTAGCCAGTTATTGCCCCCACCAAGGGAATACTATGCTGGATTCATCCGGCACCCGATGAGGCACCGACCGGGGCACGTGCTAGTGCACCTCGATGCTCTGACTGCTGGGCTTCGCTTCCCTCTCCATTCATTCATTGTGGAGTTCTTACGCCGGGTTTCTGTACTACCCGCTCAGTTCGTGCCCATCACTTACCGCATTCTGACAGGCTTCATTATTCGATGCCATGAGTTGAGGATCACTCCAAGCGTCGACCTGTTCCTTTACCATTACTGCTATCAGCCTTACTGGACGACCGGGTACCTGAAGCCGGTAGCTCGTTCTGATCGTCAGCTATTCACAGAGAATCTCACTCCGCCGGCTGACTGGGAGGAGCGTTTCTTGTTTGTTCGGGTAGGCGATTCTCTGCCATTTCCGGATAGGTGGAACGCCTATCCCGTTCGGGATTCTCAGCCCAGGGTGGACGCCGTTCTACGCTCTCAAGCTGAGTCTTTGCGAATGGGAGGAACCAGAAGTCTCCGGAGTTTTGTCACTACTTCAAGCATGTTATCTGCTGGAATTGGTAAGCGTAGTAGGGTTTTAACCCGATCATCCTTCATTCACACAATTCAGCTTCTTATCTCTTATTCCTCTTTTTTGCAGGTGTGATATCCCCCATACCCGTCCGGCGTTCTATCTCTTCTGCTACCCTAACGGCTTCTTCTGGTAAAGGCAAAGAGAAGATGGTAGCCGACCATGCCTCTGAGGAGCAACACCGGAAGAAACGCCAGGGGAACAATGGCAATCAATTGATCCCGATCGATCATGTGGTTGACTTGACCGGGCCGGAGGCTGAACCCAATAGATCGGCACCTGCCAAAACATCAACTCCGGATCTTTCTGACGCACCGATCGATGATCGGATGTTTGTCGAATTTTCAAACATGGGGCCCAGATCAGAAGGGAGGTATCTGTTCGGGTTGATGCCATCTTCTATGTGGTGTCACACTGCAATCAAGGTTCCCCCGAGCTTCACGAACCTGACCCACTGGTCGGATCTTTTCGAAGCAGGTCACCAGGAAGCACTCAAGGTACACCTCATTCCGATCCATGCCTTTCTATTCTTCATGTTTTACCTTATCTGACTTTTATTGTAATCTCGTTTTCAGGCCGGTGTATACTATCACAAGGCCTTTCTTGCAGCCGAGAAGGAAATGAAGGCCCTGGCCAGCGATCGGGATGACAGCCAGGTCCTTCTTTCTGCCGCTCGGAAGTTAGCGGCCGATCTCCAAGAACAGGCAAAGGAGGATGAGAAGGCAAAAGCTGCTCTGGCTGAGATGCAGGAGAAATCCCGTCGTCGCGACCGGGAGATTAAAGAACTCCGGGCCAAGGTGCGAGCTGCTGAATCTGCTGGGATTAAATTTGATAAAGCTGTTGGCGACCATCTGCCCGAACCTTACACGGTCAACACTTCCCAGATTGCTCATCAATCGATAGTGGATTTTCAACGGGGCAAGGGGCTGAACGTCGCTCTGGAGAACACGGCCCGACAGTTCCTGAGTCCTCACCTTGGTCAATTCTTTCGTGAAAGCGAAGATCCCATTAAGGCAGGGATCGATCTCTTGGACAGCACCCCGGAAGGGAAATCTTTCTTGGATGACCTGACCGAGAAAACTGTGAAGCAAAGTCAGGACCTGCTTCTGGATAGGAACCTTGACTTGATCCTAGAGCATTTCCCCAAGCCGTTCGACCCTGACGAATTAGGCTTTGACGACCTGTTCGGGAATACATATGACCGTATCATGGAGAAGAGTTCCAAAGTAGCGCCTGGTGATGCAGTGCAGGAAGGGAGCTCTCAACCTTCACCTTCCCCGAACGGCAATCCTTCAATAGCATAGACTTTGTAATTTTTGCTTTTTTTGTCCTTTGTTCTTCTTGTATATTCCGGCTAGTAATGCCGAAGAATAAACTAGACTTCTCTCTTTATCTGTTGTCTTTTTTCTAATTTTCCTTTGACTTTTCGTTCACAAACCTTTCTATCTGGCCGAACATCACTCGGCTCATGTATCTTTATGTCTGATCCCTTTCCCGAGCCCGTTTTGATCCCTTTTCCGTTCGTGACGCACGGGTTCAAAACTCTTAGCTGAGGTGAATTCCTCCAAGCCGTCTTGATCGTGACCACAAGGTCAAACTCTCAGCTGGGACAGGGGCTCCCTCCAAACTGTTAACCCGTTTGTCATTCGGTCATCCGGAATAATCCCATGTGTTAACAAGCTGAGGTGAGGCTATCTCTTCACAATTGATCTGACACCTTTCCTGAGCCCGTTTTGATCCCTTTTCCGTTCATGACGCACGGGTTCAAAACTCTTAGTTGAGGTGAATTCCTCCAAGCCGTTTTGATCGTGACCACAGGGTCAAACTCTCAGCTGGGACAGGGGCTCCCTCCAAACTGTTAACCCGTTCGTCATTCGGTCGTCCAGAATGATTCCACGCGTTAACAAGCTGAGGTGAGACTATCTCCCTTCCAAACCCATAATTTCGATGCATTCCGAACTATTCTCTCTGGCTCATATCATCCATATTAGGGGTCTGAGGTAACCCTTTTCGAACTGTAAGCAAGATCACCGAATTTGGGTCATTCCTTACTTATAGCTAAAAGGGTGACTCGCTTCCGAATCAAGTTCATGACTGAGGCGAGCTTTTTCAAAACCATAGTTCCGATTCCCCGGGCGACAATCCGTACCTTATCCGAACGTCGCTCGGTTAATCCATATCTTACAGTCTTGACACCATCTGCAAGCCGTTTTGATCCCTTTGCCCGTACGTAATTACAGGGTCGACTTTGGCTAAGTTGACGACTCAGCTCCCTCCAAACTGTTAACCCGTTCGTCATTCGGTCATCCGGAATGATTTTGCGTGTTAAAAAGCTGAGGTGAGAATCACTGTCCTCGAACTCCGGGCCATTTTGATCCGTTCCTCAATGCGTAATTACAGGGTCAAAACTCTTGCTGAAATAATGGCTCCCTCCAAACTGCTAATATGTTCATCATTCGGTTCTCCAGAACGATTCTCATATTAACCGCTGAGGTGAGACTATCTGAGTGTCAAACTCCAAGCCGTTGGCTGAGAATGACTTTCCTTCCATGTTGTTAACGCGTTCGTCATTCGGTCATCCGGAATGATCGTGTTAACCACGGGCACCGATTTTCTGAGCCTCAATTTTTCAAGCCGTTTTTTGATCCCTTTATTCCTTCATAAATCTAGGGTCAAAAACTCCCTTAGCTGAGAATTGATTTTCCTTCCATGTTGTTAACTCGTTCCTCATTTGGTCATCCAGAATGATCGTGTTAATCATGGGCTGTGTTTATGTGGAAGTTATGTCTCCCTCTCTATACATTTTTTTAGAGGTGGCAACAGCCGTTTCTACTGATAAAATTTCCTTAGATGTTCCACGTTCCAAGTACCTGCCGGTCGGCCTTCGGTATTTTGTAGGCCAAACGTTCCTGAAGCATACTTCTTACATGTTTGGTAGGGGCCTTCCCAATTTTGTGCCATTTTTCCACCTTCGAGCGGTTTGCTTTTTTCTCGCTTCCTTAGCACCAGGTCCCCTACCTCGATTGAACGAACTTTAACTTGCTTATCAAAATATCTTCTTGTGGCCCTGTGATACTCTTCCATTCGTGCAGCTGCCAGATCCCTTCTTTCTTCTATGAAATGCAATTCGACCCGTAAGTTGTCCTCATTCTGTTCTGGGCTATAATACACCGTTCGGTGTGTGGGAACTAGGATCTCCGTTGGTACTTTCGCCTGGAAACCATATGCGAGGGCAAATGGAGTTTCTCCCGTGGCCGTTCGGGGTGTGGTCCTGTAAGTCCATAGAATATAATTTAACTGATCAGGCCACGATGAGGAGTATTCTTCCAGTTTCTTCTTCATACCATCCATGATAGTACGGTTCATATTCTCTACTTGGCCATTCGCCTGAGGGTACGCCACGGATGCTCTGGAATGCTTGATTCCCCATTTCACCAGGTAGTTCTCAAAATTCCGGCTGACGAACTGCCTTCCATTATCAGTTACAATCTGCTCAGGGATTCCGAAACGGCAAATGATATTCTTCCAGACAAACTTCTGACATTTAACATCTGTGATGCTGGCCAATGGATCGGCCTCTACCCATTTGGTAAAGTAATCTATCCCCACGATGATATACTTGTTGTTCCCAGGGGCCGTAGGTAGAGGACCTAACAGGTCTATCCCCCATCTTGTGAACGGAAGGGCCACCGTCATTGGAGTGTAGAAAGTAGCTGGCCGTCCGGGGACCGGTGCGTACAGTTGGCATACCTTACATTTCCTAGTATGTGCAAAGTAGTCCTGTTGGATAGTCGACCAATAATACCCTTGTAGGATTATTTTCTAGCCAGTGTCTTGGGCCCTTGGTGGCTGGAACAGACACCTTCATGAATTTCTTCCATTACAGCCGCCGCTAGATCGGGTGGGAGGCATTTCAGATACGGCCCACCAAATGTCTTTTTGTACAGCTGCCCGTCCACCAATTCGAACATGGAAGCCCTCCTCTGGATGCATTTTATCTGATAAGCAGGATTTTTATCTTGTGGGAGGGTCCCGTCTTTCATGTAGTTTGTCATATCTATGACCCAGCTCGGGATGACATAAGATATGGCCTCGATCTGGAGCACCATGATTGCTGGGGTCGCCAATGTTTCCCGATGGGCAAAACGTTGGATATGAGCCGGGATCTCCTGTGCCCGATCGTCGAACGCTGCATTTTCTAATTTGGATAGGATATCTGCTTCAGTATTTTCAATCCTGGATATTTGGTCGAGCCCCACTTGTTCAAATTTACTTATCTGCTCCTCAACTATCTCCTTGTAGGTCTTCATTCTCTCTTCCTTGGCCTCAGCAGTGCCGTTTACTTGATGTACTACCAATTGACTATCCGACCGAACTTTTAACCGATCGGCACCCAGGGCCTTTGCATATTTTAAACCAGCAATGAGAGCCTCATATTCAGCCTCATTGTTGGTTACCTTGAAGTCAAAATGGATAGAATAATATGCTTTGAACCCCTCGGGCGATGTAATCACAGCTCCAGCTCCACAACCCTTGGCACTAGCTGCTCCATCCACATACATTTCCCACCAGTTATCCAGCCCATTGTTCTCTGAGTCTGTTTCTGAGGGCCAGGCGGTACATTCTGCAATGACATCTGTCAGGGTCTGTCCTTTGATAGTAGGTGGAGGCTTGAAATCCACCTCATATTGCCCGATCAGGAGGCTCCACTTGGTAATGCGTCCACTTGCCATAGGATTTCTCAAGATGGTGGCCAGTGGCTGAGTAGTATACACAGTTACCGAGTGGGTCTGGAAATATGGTGCCAGACGTTTAATGGCAGCTATTAGGGCCAGTACAGTTTTCTCTAGCAAGGTGTACCTGGTTTCCGGGCCGTTCAAAGCCTTGCTTACAAAATAGATTGGCCGTTGAACGCCATCTTCTTCTTTCAACAGTACTGTGCTCACGGCCAGGTCAGCTACAACAAGGTACATATACAAATGTTCCCCTGGTTCGGGTTTTGTCAAGACCAGGGGGGAAGACAGATACGTCTTGAAATCTTCAAAGGTCGTTTGGCATTCGGCCGTCCATTCAAAAGGGTTGGTTTTCTTCATGATCTGGAAGAACGGAATAGCTCGATCGGCCAGTTTGGATAGGAATCTGCTCAGGGTTGCTAACTGGCCGGTCAATCTCTGCACTTCTTTGAGATTTCTTGGAGCCTCCATATCCACAATTGCCTTTACTTTTTCTGGGTTGGGCTCAATCCCCTTCTCGCTCATCATGTATCCCAAAAATTTGCCCCCTCTTACAGCAAAAGCACATTTTTTGGGATTCAGCCTCATATTTGCTTTCTGCATTATCCCGAACACCTTTTCTATGTCCAGGACATGGTTTTCCTTCCTCTTGCTTTTGATCAGGATGTCATCAACATAAGCTTCCATTGTGACCCCCAGCACTTCTTTGAACAACATCCCGATCATCCTTTGAAAAGTTGTCATTGCGTTCTTTAATCCGAATGGCATGAAGATAGAGCAAAACACACCATCCGAAGTAACGAACGTTGTTTTCTCCGCATCAGCCGGGTGCATGAATATCTGATGGTAGCCCCGGAAAGCATCCATGAAGCTCAGCAATTCACATCCGGCAGTTTCATCTACTAGCAGATCTATCCTCGGCACTGGATAGGGATCCATGGGACAAGCCTTATTCAGGTCAGAGTAATCCACGCACATTCTCCAAGTAGATTGTTTTGGGGCCAGAACCACATTTGATAGCCATTCTACGTGGATTACCGGACGGATGTGCTTTATCTTCAGCAAGGTGGCCACCTCCCGCTTTGTAAATTCCCACCGTTCGGTTGCCTGATATCGTTTCTTCTGCTGGACTGGTTTTGCATCAGGCCGAACGGCAAGTTTGTGACATATTATCTCCGGATCAATACCGGGCATATCTTCTGGCCCCCGGGTAAACAGTACCTGAAACTTTTTTAGGACGGCAATCACGACATCCCGGATGTCAGCCTCCAGATCCACCCCAATAGCTACCTTACTGTTCGGGGGGGGGGGGGAATCCAGGTCGATTTGTTCAAGAAGAGTGGCGGGTTCTGGGGTTACCTCGAACTCCGTTCGGTGGGTTTCCACCTCAATTGTATTAACCCGCATCCCACGAGTGTTCATCTGTTTCAGGGCCTCTCGATAACATGTCCGGGCTGTCGTCGGATCAGTTCTGACCACCCCAACCCCAATGTCTGTAGGGAATTTGATGCATGAGTGGCGGACAGAGGCTATTGCCTCCAGATCTTCCAATCCCGGTCGGCCCAATATGGCATTGTGGGCACACTTTATATCTACCACCACGAAAGTCATCCAGTGTGACGCTTTGTGTGTTTCATCCCCAATTTCAACCATCAATTGGATGGTACCCTCAGCCTCAATGCAATTACCGGTGAAACTTGCCAGTGGGGTCCGTAGGTGGGTCAGTTGGCTTCTTTGTAGACCCATTTTTTCGAATGATTGTAGATACAATACATTCACACTGCTCCCGGTATCGACCAGTACTCGGCGGATCAAAGCAGTGTTAATACACATGCTTACCACCAGTTCATCCCTGTGCGGGCTTGGAGAGTTGGGTAAATCAGCTGGCCCGAACGTGATCGGGTCCGTCCTTCCTTTCTTCTGGGGGGGAGCGGAGACGGATCCCACATAAAGACTTCGCTCGAACCTTTTCCGTTCAGCGTTCGAATCCCCTGTCTCCCCGCCCCCGAATATAACCTTGACCTCCATTCGAGGTTTCTTTCAAGGGCCTCCCGAGCCCTCTGGTTCATCCCTGGGGGGAACATATACGTCATTTTGAGGCTGGGCATCACGTTGGGCATCCCGGCGCCAGCTATTAGGTTTCTTGACCGGTTTCAACGTGCCTACAGCATTTGGATCTTTATTCACATATTTGCCCAGATGACCCCTTCGGATCAAATCCTCAATGGCTGTTTGTAGGACCCTGCAGGCATTGATGGCATGACCCTTCCTGTTGTGATATTTACAGAAAGCATTGTCGTCCGCTCCCATGAACTGTCCAGAATCAGTCGGGAGGGGAATATTGTCCCTCTCGTGCTGATAAATGGTCGCTACTGATAGGACCAGGGGTGTAAATCTCCCTTGCTTGGGAGGTATAGCGGCCGCTGGGCTAGGACCCAGCCGATCGGCCATTCTGATCGGGGCAGCAGGCGCAACGACCTTATCCCTGATCATTGTCTCCTCTTCTAGGGCGGCATGCTTGCGAGCCCTGTCTAATACCTCGGCGTAGACTGTACCTGGATTTTTCTTTAATTCCTTGTACAACTCCCCCGTTCGGAGAGCATTCGTGAATAGGGTAATGGCGGTATCATCTGTCATGTTTCCCACTGTCAAAGTTTCATCCCTCCATCTTTTCCGAAATTGATTGAGGGTCTCTTTGGCGTTTTGCTTCACGCTGGTCAAATAGCTGAAGTGCCGTTTGGGATTGGCACTGGAACCAAACTGGGCCAAGAATAACGCCGATAACTCGGCAAAGCTGTTGATTGATCCGGGTTGTAGTGTCCCGAACCACTCCTGGGCGGCCCCCCTGAGCGTACTAAAAAACAACCGGCAAATAGCGGCCTCGGGTGCTCCTAGCAGCATGAGTCCCCCCTGGTAACTCCTCAAATGCACATGGGGATCTCCCACCCCGTCATAGATTTGGCCGGTTGGTGGCTTGGCACGCCCTTGGATGTCTGCGTACATGAGTTCCCTAGTAAAAGGGGGAGTAATTCCCAGCTGAACCGGGGCAGGTTGTACAGGTGCCCTGTTCATTTGGTCCCGCATCTCATTCATCTGCCTCCTCATCTCGGCCATTTCTTCCTCCTGGGCCGTCAAAGGGGGCGGTGGTGGAGCCCTCATGTCCGTATAGTCCCGGTTCCAATGCCGTTGAGGGGCCCTGGTATTCTCCCGCTCGGCATTCTGGAAATGATGACCAATGGGAGTTGGTCCTCTAGCTTGTGACCCGATCGGGGTTCGGTCACTGGGACTATGGTGCGCTGTTGGTGAGGCGCTACGTCGATTATCCCGATGGGCATGCGAACGGGATGATGTTGTAGTTGTTTCCGTCCGTGGAGTCTCCCCTGTAAAGTTGGACCCTCCTTCCTCCTCGTTCGCCATATGCTGCATGACCTGAGCCATGTCTCGCATGGCCTGAGGATTTCTTCTCAGAGATTCGGGAATCACAAAATCCCCATCAAAACGAGGATACGATCCTCGGCTGGATTGTCCCTGAGGGTTTTGACTCCCCGGGGTGTGACTCCTCCCGTGATGGCGTGAACCGTCGTTTGTATGATAGGAGCTGATTCTGACCATTTTTGAAAATAGTGGTTTTTGGATGATTTGAATGTGAAACTTTTTGTAAATCTCGTAGATCCCGTAGATCCGAAAGCCCAACACGAACTTTGGATATATCAGGAATGACACAGAATCAAAGTATATAAACAAAATATAAAATATGAACTCACTAATACTCGAAAGCTCACTTGTATTAACTAACCAGTCTGATTACAAGGAATTTCCCGATCGGTAGGTCGGAAACAATGCTTTAATACAAGAAATAAGAGCAATGATGTTATTCTAGAGCCTGAGTATTGAAATGCTAACCCTTACAATGACTTAAAACCTTCTATTTATACTAATGGAGAGCATGGGCTGCCCTATGCTGATTGGCCGTTGTTCCACCGACTTGGTCACCCATGTTTCCACTTGCTGATGTCACAATCTGGCATTAATTGCGTCTGGCCACTTGCCGGTTGGCCGTTGCTCGAACGGGATGTTGGGCTATGCTGAAGATGCTGTCAAATTGGCCCAAGTATAATATATAGTCCGAACTCCGTTCGGTATGTCTTCTTACTGGGCCAACCCTTATTTGGGCCGAATCTCGTTCGGCACTAATTCTACCTTGATTATCTTATCATAGCGTGATGGGCCCGTTGCTTGGGCCAGGTATCTTGGGCCTTCCTGACCCGGGTATTGGGCCTCTGGATCAATATCCCAACAATTGTATTATTCCAAAATGTTTAAAATTATGAGATGTTATTAAATTAATTATCTTCCGTCAAAGTTAATGGAAAATCTAACGGAAGGACTTGATTATTATAGATGAAATAGATTAAGGACTAAACTGATAGATTTAATAGTTCGAGGACCAATGATGATGATAGTTCAATGACCATTTATGTATTATTCCCATTTATAAATTATGCATTCTTATAATTATAATTCGTAATATTAGATTATTAGAATTAGTAATGGCTAAAAATTACTCCTTACAAAGTACTAATTAATATAAAGTAGTCCTTCTTTGTTGTTTTTATTGTTCCCAGAACAACTATAACTACTACTATTAATATTATCCTATATTATTATTATTATTATTAATCAAATTAATTAATTTATTTTTTAATTAAAAACTAGTTGTGAACCGGACTAGGGAACCTCCGATTCCAAACCGGAGGTAATATGCGATTTCGATTTCGATTCCAAAACCAGTGGTTGATCTGGTTTCGATTACGGTTGAATCTTAAACTATGGAGGCAAGAACAGGTCTACGTGTACCCGACCCGGTGATCCGGCTGGTTCACGGTCCTGGTTTCTTTATTAAATTTCATTGGAGGTAAAAAGTCCAATTACACTATATTCCAAATTTGGAATGTATATTTTAAATTAGAATCTGTATTTTAGAATGTATTTTAAAATATAATTTATTCTAAACGTGTTTTTACCATATATCTTAGATTTTGTGAAAACAAAAGTATCTTTTATTAATCAATAATCAATAACATCATTAGTTAGTTGATTTACAATGAAATTTGGGGGATTTACTAAGTCTAGCTTGACTTAGAAACAACTACTCTAGCTAACAAGTGAGCATCCCGATCTGCTGACGTTTTAAGATGTTTTTACCTAAACCGTAATTTGCGGGTTTGGTTTGCTCTGATCTGATCTAGTTTGGTCTGGTAATGTCTAATCTCTTTGTATTTTTATATTTATCTAAGTCTGATTTAACCTGATCTATTTTGATTTGGTCTGTGACAAATTTCAATCCAAATAAAAACATCCTACAATAGGCAATTTTAAAATTACCCTTGCAATTTTAAAATTTGTCCAATATCATCTACTATCAAATCATAACAGGAACAACCGAGGGTGATGTTCAAGCTTCTCACAAGCCCATCTCAATGGTGCCCGCATCCCAAATGAAGGGACGACCCTGAGGGGACAAGGGAGCTAGCGAGGGCCTGGACCCAAAAAATGATAAAAATTTAGGCATATACGTAGTATTTAGTTCTTTATAATAGATGTGAGTAGACTCATTTTTCAGTCCAAAACTAATAAACGTTTCAGAACTTTTTGAAGTGCTTCCGGATGAAATTTTGATAAATATTTATGAACATATCTCTATGAATTGTAGATTAGGCCCACTAAATTTTAGTTTAAAATTCAATGTAATAAAAGTCATTCAATGTAAATTTTGATAAAAGGCCTTTTTATGCATATTTCGGCGTAATATTTTTCAATAATTTATTTAATTGACTCTCCAATTGAGTTTTAAGCTAAATTGTTTTCAACATGAGCCCCACTTGATGGAAAACATGCTCACAAAATTTAATAAAAGAATTCCACGATATTACTTTGATATGATTGTATGATTAGTTTATTAATTGATTTCATTCGTAGTTGATTGCATGATTTCTTAATTGTTGATTGTTATCTATCGAGTGTTTGTGGTATAAGTTGTTGATTTTGTTAGACAATTTTTTTTAATTACAAGTAAATTTATAAATTGAATTAATCTCAAGGTATAATAAAAATTAATGAATCTCCATAGGATAAAGAAAATCAAAGTGAAGAATATTAAAGAAAACAACGCTAAAGAAACAAGGTTCAATGAAATATTTTATTTGTTTAAAATATTTTCCTCAGCGTTAATATCTTCCTCAGCGTAATAAACAATTGTCACTTCGATGTATTTCTTCTTTAATTTTTCATTTTATACATATGACGGTAGTGGAGTCAAGGGGGTCAGAGTGGTCAACCGATCCCCTTGTAAGTTCAAAAATATAAAGCACTGAAATACATTCGATTCGATACATTATGCCTCCCATAACTCATTACGAGTAAGAAATTATGACTCCTAAAAATCAGCACTATCTAAGAACATCACTCATTATATAGATTATATTCTCAAAATTTTTAAAAAAGTCTAATTCACTCATTACTTACATAAATTTTAAAATGTATATGACACATATATCAAGTAGTATCAATTATCTAAGCTATATACAAAACATTCAACTTAAGTATTATTTATGTTCGGATAATGGGCCAGGTCCAATACTATCGACCCAATATGCCTGGGCTCGGGCGCGAACCAGGCCCAACACACGGTCCGGCTAGAGAATATGGCCCTTCGATTGATTTGTTTAACTCTTGGGCCGACCGGCCCATTGGCCTTGGATCAAGCTTCTTGTTTTACTTGTTTAATTGGGCCAAGCCCATTAGCGTTTGACAAACCTCTTGTAAGCGCCTATAAATAGGCCGCCACTCCTTTTGTATTGGGGAGGTCACTTTTACTGTACTGAATTGCTGCTGAATTTTCTACTCAACATATTTTCTACCAACATTGATGCTTTCATTGAGAGCTTTGTTGTTCTCTCAGTTTTCGGTAGAATCTTTGAGGAGGAAAATGGCAGGATCATCAAGGCAAGAGCGAGTTTCCATTCACACTGAGCATTCAGAACAACCCAATGGCCATCGTTTGAGAAGCCAAGTGGTGAGACCGATAGGAGATCTCCGAAACCATTTAACAAGCTCAGGGGACCTGAGGGGTTCGCTGAGCCACAGTCGTGACAGACAATCCATTCATGATCGGATTGGAGGTCGCCGTCGTCGGGTTCCGCGCACGAACTGACTTGATGCTGGAGTGCGGGCGCTACAAGAGGCCACACGCGCCATTGGGGCTTTGGCTCTGAATTTCCAGGGGATGATGCCGCAGAGAGCTAATCATGAAACTCCGAGACACACCACCCCTGAAGACATCGAGACTTCCTCTGGTAGATATGAAGGGCAACGTACTAGTTAGGACAAATCGCGAAGGGAATCCTTGCCCCGGAGGGAGCATATGCCCCAACGGGTCGAGCAGCCTCGACGACCCAGAAGGGAAGGGCCCCACCGAGACTCGTCACTGGAGGGAGGGGATGACTTCTCTCATTACTCCCGCCGTGGTGGCCGTCGGGCCCACGCGCGTGAAAGAGTCACAGAATCCTATGTGCGGGTCCAACCTCGTGTTGGGCGCGTGCCGGAGGAACCAGCGCCCGAAGCTGTGGAGGATCTCAGATTGAGGTTGGACGAGCTAAGGAGGAGGGTTGTTGGGGGAGAGTCATACGTGGCCGACCTCCATATCCCGGAGCCCTTCACTCGTGCTGTAATGGAGGCTCCGTTGCCAAGGGGCTACAAACCTTGCAATGTGGATACTTACAAGGGCACTTCGGACCCGCAACACCATATATCATGTTACATGTCATATATGGTCATGATGGGATACGAAGATGCCATACGATGTGGAGGATTCACGGCTACTCTAGATGGCCCGGCTCATGAGTGGTATGACACACTGCCCGATGGGAGCATCGGGGACTTCAGGGAGTTGGCTAGGCACTTCCTCTTGAGGTTCGTCGGCTCATGAGATGTGAAGAAGAATTTCAGCCACCTGTTCAGCCTGAAGCAAGGAAAGAAAGAGGCCATGTCCACTTTCCTGGCAAGGTGGAGGGTCGAGTCGGTCAAGGTTCAGGGCCTTGACGACAGGACCGGAGTGGCAATGCTGATAAATTCTATCCGACGAGGAGAATTTCACAAGGATTTTGTTGGGAATCCACCCGCTTTATACGAGGAAGCCCTAAGGCGGGCAGACCGTCAGGCTGAAGCAGAGGACGCTGAACAGAGAAAAAGAGATGAAGAGAATGGAAAGAAAGAAGAAACGAAGGACAAGGGAAGACGTGGTGACCCAGATGATGAAGACGCTGATAGGAAGTCTGGTGGAAAGGGCGGCCGGTTCAAAGGTAAGAAGAATAAGAACAAGGGAAGGACGGACGTCCCGAAAGGTCGGGACGGTCCTCGACTATGCCAAGGAGCAGGGTTTGGTTTCCTTTCCAGGGGAATGTGACGTGGTCACTGCCAAACGCAATACCGACCAGTACTGCAGGTTTCATCGGAATTTCGGGCATGATACGGACGAATGCATCGTTCTCCGCAGACAAATCGAGGCACTTATCAAACAAGGATATTTGGGCCAATTTGTAGGAAAACCGAGAAATGCCCAGAAAGGGAGGAACCTGACATGGAGGCGTTCCGATCAAGCCACCACGTCCAAGGAGAAACAACCCCTTGACCAACCACCAAAGAAGCGCGAGCTTGGAGCTCTGTCCGAGGATGACGAGTGTGACCTAGGAGAGGGATCCTGGAAGCATCACAGATGCTCCTACATCGTGGGCAGCCCCCAAGGAGGGGGCACGTCAGGCGAAAGGAAACGATGGGCTCGATCCTTGTACGTCGGGGAAATTACCCGGGTACCTGCAAAAAAGAGGATGAGAAGAGATTCGATCTACTTCACCGATGATGACCTACAACCCATGCTACCACCGCATAGGGACGCCTTAATGATTAAGGTGGAGATGAACAATACAATCATTCATCGAGTTCTAGTAGTCAATGGAAGCTTGGTGAACGTAATGTATTACGACACATTCCAAGGCCTTGGTCTGAGTGGGGTGGATCTGAGTCCGGTAAGAACACCTTTGTCCGGGTTTACCGGGGACTCAATCGAATCGGAAGGCAGTGTGGTGTTGCCCGTGATGGTGGGTTCGGAACGTTGTGTAGCAAAGTTGAACCTTGAGTTCACTGTCGTACGTTTAACCTGTTCGCACAAAATCATCATGGGAAGACCCACGCTGGAGGACTTGAGATGCATTATCTCTTAGGAGCATTTATGTATGAAGTTCCCCACCCCGAACGGGGTCAGGATAGCTCGGGGAGATCAAAGGATGGCTCGGAGTTGTTACATGAAGGCGTGCAAACAACTCGGACAAAAGGACCTCAGGGTCCACACTATCAATTGCAAAGCCATGAAGTATGAGGATGGCCAGCTCAGCGCTGAGCCCACCTCCGAGGTTGAAGAAGTTCATATCGATCCCGGGCACCCGGAGCGAAAGATCAAAATCGGGTTGGGGCTCCCAGCCGGGCTGAGAGAGAAGATCATCCAAGTGTTGGTCACATAACTCACATTCAGTGTGATCTTCGCATGGGGCCCTGAGGATATGCTGGGGTTGGACCGGAGTGTGGCCGTTCACAGGCTAGCGGTCGACCCGACGGTGAAGCCGATCCAGCAGAAGAGAAGACACCTCTCGGTGGAACGAAGGGATTTCGTGAAGAAGGAGGTAGCTATGCTCTTGACTATTAAACACATCAAGGAAGTATTATACCCGGAATGGTTGGCAAACGTGGTCCTGGCACCGAAGCCCTTGACTTGGAGAATGTGCGTCGATTACACAGACCTTAACAGAGCATGCCCGATGGACCCCTTCCGTTTACCTAACATCGACCAGCTAGTTGACGGGACAGCCGGGTGCGAACTCCTTAGCTTCATGGACGCATTCCGAGGGTATCATCAGATATCCATGCATGAAGATGATGCGGAGAAAATCTCTTTCATCACCCCGGAGGGGATCTTTTGCTATCTAGTCATGGCTTTTGGCTTGAAGAACTCTGGGGCGACATACACGAGAATGGTTGCAAAAGTGTTTCGAACAGTGCTAGGAAGGAACATGGAAGCGTATGTAGACGATATGATCGTCAAGAGCGTACGAGCGACAGACCATGCCGACGACTTAGCCGAAATTTTCGGGATCATGAGGGCAGCTTGACTGCGCCTGAACCCGAAAAGTGCATGTTTGCTGTCCAGGGTGGAAAATTTTTGGGGTACATGGTCACCCAGAGAGGGATAGAGCCGAACCCCGAAAAAGTGAGAGCAATCCTTGACATGGAACCTCCGAGGTCGGTGAAGGAAATGCAGGTTCTCACTGCGCGACTGGCATCACTTGGGCGTTTCCTGTCAAAATCTGCGGAGAAGTCCCTACCTTTTTTTCAGGTTCTCAAGAAACAAAGTGGATTCGCGTGGACGGATGAGTGTCAGCGGGCATTCGAGGAGCTAAAGAAGTATCTTCTCTCTGAGCCGTTGTTAAGCAAGCTGAGGAAAGGAGAAACACTGATATTGTATTTGGGAGTGTCGCAATATAATCGTACCGATGTTATATCGGAATTATTATTTGCTATTACCATTACGATATAACATCAATATTAATGGTAATAGCAAATATTATGATAATACATCAAATATATTAATGTGCACTACGTAGATAAACTTATTAATGTGCACTAATACACGAACATCGGTACATGTGTGTATGTCTATACGTATATTTATGTGTATACATGTTTGTTAGACATGACATATATAATTATGTTAATTAACTTTCTATCGAAATCAAAATATCAAAAAAGACTTTGACGAATTCGATAACACCTATAGAAGATAAGATGTAGAAGTTTCAATTGCGGTAGTATGTTTATGTGCGCAGAAGATTAAGTGTTGCATCTTTAGACGACTTAATTGAAAGACGTAAACAAACTTTGATTAAAACTAACTGCTAAGGGTATTACGGATATTTACTCATGATGTATTATGGCTTCGTATGCCTTGCACATACTAATTAGTCATATAAAACATAGGGGAGATTTATAGTCATATATTGAGAAGTTGTTTATCTTCTAGTCACATCTAGAGAATTTTCCCTTTTTTATCTTCTATTTTTCTTATGCACTTTTATCTTTTTATCTTTGCTTTTCCTTATATGCTTATGATGTCGTTGTTATTTTATATTTATCTTTTATCCTATCAAATTTATCTTACTTTAACTTCTTCTTTTCTCTTTTGGTCTTGTTATCATGTTAGCTGACCCTATAAATTTTGAGATTAAACATTGAATGTTGTGTTGTTGTGTGTAAGAATTACTTGTGCGTTATTTCAAAGTTTGGAAATATTCTCAACGCGGCTGTTTTGTTACATGTATGGTGAATTATATATATGGCGAATTCATGCAATGATGTTGTGTTCTTAATAATTAATATATGTCAATATCCTTTAAAAAAAGTGCACACATTATAAAAATGTTAACTTAATCAGAAAACATTTTATATTTAATAATTGTCAAATACGAACCTTAAACGCTATATAAATACTAAATTCTTTAATTTGTCTGTACATTGCACGAAATGCACAGTTTCTATTACGTTTATCATGTCATTAAAGGGCACTTGAGTCTACAAATAGTTTGGAGTGTGGTCTTGAGGGCACATGATTAGTTCAACGATATCAAAATCACTTCGTATTAACAAAATATATATATAGGGATTAGTTCATGTGAGAACGCCCTCTTAGGAGAGTAAAAAAGAACCAGATCCGACCATCCAATTTGTCAATCGTGCGGCTGGGATGATCAGTTTTATTAATTAAAAAACACATGATGCGTCTGTGCCATATTAAAAAAAAAGAAACGTGCATTAAGAAGCCCATTGAAGAGTAAATGGGTAAAAGACTATGATGCTTAATTATGGCGGTTCGGCCGCACGAGTTCCCATATGGGAAGAAATCCCGTTTAATGTGCCTGTATATTCGAAAAAAGAGAAACTTCCTTCATTGCGCAGACTTCTACTCTGAAACTACCAGAGCTCGACGAAGAAGAAGGCGTGCACTAGCATCGAAACCCTAGGAAGTCATCGAAGAAGAAGGATGACAAGGACAAACGAAAACGACGGTGCATCAGGGACTGCAAAAAGTGCTTCAGGTACGGCGATAACCTGCGGTTATTTTGTGACTAATTTTGTTGTATTAACAAGTTGATGTTGTGGATTCAATGCATGGCTAAAGAAAACGATTTTAATGTAGTTTGTGAAGCATTTATCATGAAAAACAATAGAAAGTGAGATTTGTTTGTTTCTTTGTGTGTATGGATAAATGTTGTGCTGCGATAGTGAATGAATAATAGAAAAATAATGGGAAAATGGTAGTAAAGAGTCATGATTGAGTGATTAAAAAGGGGTAGAGTGCAGAGCGAAGTTGTCGGTTGTTCTTTTGGTAGGATTTCATAGTATTAGTTTGTGAATGTGAATGAAGGTGAAAAAACTAGTTAAGCAGAATTTGAAATAGCCAATTAATTGTGTATATGAATGATGAGTTTTGCTATGGATGTGTTTTATTGGAATGTGCACAAAGAGTAGTTAATAGGTTCATACATATAATGATATAGTGCATGAACTGTTTGTATATGTGATAAACACGATTTGGTCTATCCTAGAGCTAATTTTTCATTAAAGTGCATCCAAATTTTATTTAAATGCATAAATTGGGTGCTTAAAAGGCTTGTTTGTGTGATAGAAAAGGCTTACCGTGCACAGGTTAAGTGTGCTTTTGATATATTGGTGTGTATTCATATTGTTGTTATGTGAATGTGATTGTGAATGAAATTTACTTAATAAGTGCAACAAATCTATAATGTTGGAAATCAGTTAACAGACAATAGACTGCTTACATCATTATTGAAGTTTTTAATTGTAATGTGGTGTTTCGAATGTGCATGAAGTGAAAGTATTATGTTCATAAATGCAATGATATAATGCATGAGGTATTTAGTAATTTGATTAAAATAATATGTATTACAACAATTGTGTCTATGTTAGTGGAAGAGAGCATTCTTTGTGTTGAATAGTGCATTGTTTCCCATATTACAGGGAGTACAGTCAAAACCTTACAGGTGGTGAAGAACAATAAAGGTAAGCGACCAGATATCAAAGATGCACCTCAGAACCAAGCCTGCAGGCTGAAGAGGCAGAGGAAAGTAGTTGATGAAAATGAAAACGATGATGACTTTGAAGTGCAACCTGGGCAAGGTGGAGCTGCAATTGACTTAGAGGAAAATGAGAGCACGAAAATAAAGAAAGAGAGCATTAAAGATATCAAGGCCAGGTTTAGGACAATAAGAACAAGATCATCACCCAACATGATTGTGAAAGCTCTCTCTGTGATGACTGCTGCACAAAAGAAGGAGATACACAAGATGGGTTTTGGTGCGCTGTTTGATCTGCAAGTATGTGAAATACCAGGAAGGTTGGGGTTTTGGGTGGTTGATAACTTCAACCCGAAAACATGCTCATTGGTGCTGCACAATGGAAGTGAGTTGCGTGTAACGGAAGAGGATGTAGCCCGCGTTTTGGGATTTCCAATAGGAGGCAGAAAAATAGTAACAAAAAAGAAGAACGAGGAATGTGCATTTAGATACATTCTTGAAGCCCTCATTATCTAAATCAACATTCTTGCAGGAATCACTGTTAGGTGCAACCGTCTTAGATTTAGATACATTTTTGAAGCCCTGCCTATTACACACCATATGTTTCCAAAGAATAACGCCACCACGAGCCCTTTTTGACTACTTTTACGTGATTCAAAACCACACATTTTTGCATATTGATCATAAAAACTCATACCATCATGCAAGTTGTTGAAAAACATACCAACATGCGGTTTAAAAGCAGGGTCACAATCCGGTGTGCAGTACATAGTGGATCCCGGAGAAACTTGCATTGTATTAACATCAAACGATTGAGAAACGGCTTCAGATGCACTGAAGGGAACATCATTTGAATCTAATGGAAGCATGCAAAAAAAAATATTCACAAAAACATGCTTTAGCAAAACGTATACAAAAAAAGGGCAATATCAAAATGCATATAAGAGCATCACAATAATATTTAAGATGTGCAACAAAAATATTCAGAAATTAACAAATACATGCTATTAACATAAACTACGGTAAAAGTGCAATATAAGAATGCACATAAGAGCATCATAATAATATTCGAAGTGCGCATCAATAATACTCATAAATTAACAAAAACGTGCTCTTAACATACACTAGAGTAAAAGTGCAATATCCAACCAAACGTATAGCATATCCATCATAATCCAATTTAGAGTGCATTCCAAAATAGTCAAAGTTTAAGCATGTACATTACACAAATTTTAAATCCATTAAGCGCATGTCGTTTACAATATTGAAACAACGTAAAAATCATATGTCCTAGTTGTCCGTTTTGGGTAAAAATTGCACATATAATCATCCCAGAATGTTAAACTTGATCAGTTTAAACAATAACAAAATGGGAGATTTCCCAAAATAGGACTAAATGAAGTTTGAAATTCCAAAATATGACTACTTTATTTTTATTCCCGAAATGGGACTAACATGGCAGTATTTACTGTCATCTTGTAGCCGTGACTGCCAAATAGTTGCAGTACAATGCATTTAACATGACAATACTTATTATAATTAATGACAGTATTTTTCAATCATGTCAGTATTTTTCATACATGACCGTAATAACTCCTATTTCGGGAAGAAAAACATATTAGTCCTATTTTTGGAATTCCAAGTGTCATTTGCTCCTATTTTGGGTAATTTCCCTAACAAAATTCATTCCAATAATACTCACCGAAGTCCATGTAATCGTTGGCCTGGAAACTCGAAATGCAGTACACCAAATACGATAGGTTAAAACTCGACAAGCACGAAGGAGGCCGGAAAGAAAAACGGCGAAGGAAGAATAACAAAGAACCAAAATCCGAGCAAAGCTTTCGCTTCTGGACGAAATCCAATCAATACCTTTGAACAAGGAAAGAAGAACGCAGATGGACGAAAATATCTTTGGAAAGAAATCTTGGAGAAACGGTTGTAGAAGGAAATCATGCAGCGTACGTTTAGGAAGTCTACAAACGTACAATTCAAATTGACTTTGTTACCGTTAATGAAGGTTTAGGCGCACGGATTATTCTAATCTAATCCAATGGTGAAGATGGGATCTTTTTTACTCTCCTAAGATTAAGTTCTCACGTGAACCTAAATCTCTCTCTCTCTCTCTCTCTCTCTCTATATATATATATATATATATATATATATATATATATATATATATATATATATATATATATGATTAGATATGTAAATATTTATGTTTATAGAGCTTTATAAAACTACGGTGAACCACAATTGTTTTACTTTATTGCTTTAAATTGTGGATCATTTGACCCGAGTAAGTGACGAAGGTTCGATAGGGTAGTAGTAGAGTAGTCTTTACTTGTACATGATAAGCCAATTACATTTAGTTTTGATAGAGTATATATGCACATTATGACGTATCAATGTATCATTCATGCTACATGACAACTCTGATATCCATTTTAAAAAAAGTATTGTACATTTGTACCTACCACTCACTTGATTGGTCAATTCCAAAATCATTATACCATTTTTAATTTTGATTTAAATAATTCAATTACATCATTCTGATTGATCCATGTAGACAAAGGTACGATACATTAAAAGTGTCACAAAATCGACCTTCATGCTATTGTACTATTCAATAAAAATGATACAAAAATGATATACAAATGTTCTTTGTTAGAAATACTTTAATTTAGAAATATTTTAATAAAGTTATGTATGCGCCCAATCAAGCATCTCATCCCAAAAAATAATACGTAGTGAAAATATTATTGAAATATGTTTAAATACTTTAATAAAATTATGTATGCGCCCAATCAGGCATCTCATATTCTCATCCCAAAAAATAATACGTAGTCAAAATATTATTGAAATATGTCGTTAGCCACACGGGGTAAAAATGTAAAATGCAAGCATGCATGTCTAAACGACCAAACACGAATATAGTTTATAATTTTTTAATGCATGAACATTTAAAAGTAAGTTTAAAACAGAAAAGAGAAGTACAAATCAAGTAGTCTTCACCCAAGCTCACTCTGAGCGCATGCAAAAATTACAGGATCATACCTGAAATATTTTAGTGAGGCCACCCTCGGAGGGGACAAAAGGGACAAGACCATCTCCTAACAACTGGCAAAGAACGGGACCCGTTCTCTTTTAATTGCAACATTGGACGTTTTTTACTATTCACATATTCTACTTTGATTACATTTTATTTATTAATGTATTTTAAATTAAATTTTAAAAAAGTATTGCTAATTCTTCTCATTCTAAACTTTCAAAATATGTATTTTTTTAAATTTGTTACTAATAAGGAATGAATGTTGGAAAATATTCCATTTAAATGCCCTTGGACCATTTGTATAATTTAATAAATTATGGAGACATTTATGTCTTACCATTAAGTTTGTCATATGTCAGATTTGATCTCTTTATTTATGTATAGTTAACATATGATGAGTATGTTTTAACATTGAATAAAACATAAGGCGTCAATTGAGTTTCTCTTTGATAAAAATATAAAAGGCAAAACGACAAAACGAACGAGCACGTTCCTTCCTAAGGGTTTCAAGAATACCTGTAATACGAGACCCAAGGGAGAATCGTTCAATTCATATTTTATCGATATGTTAAGTAAATCATAATCAATTTTACAATTCGGGTTTATCATATAGTTCAATTGCATTCTAGATCATTGTGACCTAATTGGTTAATATTAGGGCTATCTATGAATGGAGCTTATAACATGTCAAACACAAGTTCAAATATTCATAATTTATCGATATGTTAAGTAAATCATAATCAATTTTACAATTCGGGTTCATCTTATAGTTCAATTGCATTTCATATAATTGTGACCTGATTGGTTGATATTAGGGTTATCTATGAATGGAGCTCATGACATGTCAAACACAAGTTCAAATATTCATAATTTATCGATATGTTAAGTAAATCATAATCAATTTTACAATCCGGGTTCATCATATAGTTCAATTGCATTTCATATCATTGTGACCTAATTGGTTGATATTAGGGTTATCTATGAATGGAGCTTATAACATGTCAAACACAAGTTCAAATATTCATATTTTATCGATATGTTAAGTAAATCATAATCAATTTTACAATTCGGGTTCATCATATAGTTCAATTGCATTTCAGATCCTTGTGACCTAATTAGTGGATATTGGGGTTTTCTATGACTGTTGGTTCTACTATGTATGACCGATGATGGAGTATATGGCCCGGGAACCCCCGGCCCACAGACTCCTACTACTCCAGCGAAGGCCGAACAGGCCCAGAAGGCCCAACAGGCCCAAATCACAGCGCCCAGAGTGCCAAGCAGCCCGCACTACGCGCCAGGGGTGCCTTCGCCCCCCTGGCCGAAGGCTCTACACTCTCACAGAACGGGTTTCTCAAGCAAATTAAGAAACTGTGAGAAAACGGCGAAAACAGTAGCCCTCGGCACTGGGAGCCCTTGGCACGAGGGTGCTCTATAGTCGAAGGCATCTCACTCGACAAGATATCCGCCTCACATGCGTACAGATCACCGTACCCCGCACAGACGTCCCATCCAACAGCCGCATTAAATGCGGCCACATGCGGCTGCCAGCGCCAACCAATTGAGGTGACCCCTCGGCCAATGGGCGTTTGACACGTGTCCCTGTCCGACATTTATTGCTACTATAAATAGCACCCCATTTCCCCGTTTGTAACCACGACATTCATACTAAATACACTCTCTCTCTACATTTACTTACTTGCTCTGACTTCTCTCCAAGTTATTCCCCGCAATAACCCTTCGGATATATACCCCCGGGTAGACTATCCATCATTTGGTGCTCTCGTTGAGAGGTCGAACAATCAAGTAAGAAACCCTCCCCCTCGACCAAACACAAAACACCTAGCTAAGATGGTGAGAACAACACGTAACAACTCAAAGAACGTAGAGGACAAGAACCTGGCCCTCGGCGACGTCAACGCCCCCGAAGCCTCTCACAGGGCTCCCGAGGGCGTTGTCATCGCTGGGCTGGAACAGGCGGCTGTCGACCTGTGCCTTCAGATCCAACAAAATGCCCCCGATGCCCGCCTCGGCATCGAGGCCAAGAAGAAAAACCGGAGCGATGACCAAGTCAGCCCTCCGGTTCTCACCATCGACGTGCAATCGGCGCTCTCCGCCTTCATCCAAACGCTCACTCAGAACCCGGGTTCCTTCGGCACCCTGGCTCCGGCTCACCCCCAGGTTGGGGAAAACATCATACTTCCCCCTCCGCCACATCCCTTCGGAAATCCCATCCCTCGGATGAGGAACGACGAAGGGGTAGTGGCCCAGGATCCGTCCTCCCAGGAAGTACAGTCCCGGGACCGCCACAATGACAACAGGGAGAGGCCCCGCACTTCCGCCCTCAACCGGCTCGGAGGAGGGCCAGACCGCCGAGGGGTCCAAGACCGCCTCGGAGGAAAGGCACTCCAAAGGCCCCAGGAAAGTGGAGGGTCTGTCTCGAGGGCAGACGAGGAGCGTCCCCCTCGGGACAAAGGCAAGGCACCCCTTCATGCCAATGATGCTCGCCACCAAATCAACCAGGCCCACTCGGCCCGGGTTCGTTCGCAGGGGGCGGAGACCCTCCCGAAGGATCCCCGGGACGAGATTATTGCGGCCCTCCAACACCGGCTTGAGGAAATGGAGTCCAACAAAGCTCACGCCACCACCTCCACCCCTCATTCAGATCTCAAATACGAGGCCATGATGGCCAAGATGGAGGAGTTACAGAAGAAGGTGGCCGAGGGCTCCGGGGAACCCGTCATCCAGCTCCGGACTCGGATGCCATTTACCCCGAGGGTATTGGCGGCCCGGATCCCGGAAAAATACCGAGGGCAACACATACAGTCCTACAACGGGAAAACGGACCCCCAGGAACACTACAGCAAAAACCAGAACAGCATGATGATGGTAGGGGCGTGAGACGAATACTTGTGTTGTTGGTTCCTCTCCACCTTAGAGGGGCCGGCATACG